ATTTTGGAAAGAAATGGGAAAATTTCTTACCTAAGATAGTAAAAGCGGTCCATAATTCAATAAAATGTACAGCTGGAGATTATGAAACACAAAGAAGAGTTTCGTTTTTACATGAGTGCATGAAAAATATTTGTAGTGGAAGCAAAGACATACTAGAGAATCATAACCTCAGAGACCATGAGGTGGGAAAGAATAAGCAGGCTTAAGAAACAGTTGTCAGAGGAGACTTGGCTTTATAAAGACAAGAGGAGAAGGAACATTTGGTGACAAGGTTCCTGATATAAAGGAGGCATTTATAATGGAGATTAGGTTATAACTGGCACAGAAATAAAGGTCAAGGAAATTTTCAGAAACCAGAAAGCATAGATTTTAAATGACAAGGTAAGGTAGGATGTGTAACTATATGTGTGTCTGTGTTGTGAGAGTACAGATGGGTGAAAAGACTTGTATTTTAATGGTGGATAAGGATGCTCAGGATGAGAGGCAAAACTGTGTCAACTGCCCTTTAGATTTCAGGACAATTCAGTCTGAGATTCCAAATCCTTTTGAAAGCAATGAAGTGAATTTGCAAATTTCTAAAAAAAAAAGAGAGAATTTAATGTGACAGAAAATGTATTATACACAATGGTAAAATAATGGTTCAAAGTCCTCAAAATTAAAAGAGATATATAGGATGGATATAAACCAAAAAATAATTAGTTAACTCATGTCGTTTAAGAGATTATTTAAAACAACCTTTCCCGCACTTTGGGAGGCCGAGACAGGCGGATCACTAGGTCAGGAAATAGAGACCATCCTGGCTAACACGGTGAAATCCCGTCTCTACTAAAAAATACAAAAAACTAGCCGGGCGAGGTGGCGGGCGCCTGTGGTCCCAGCTATTCGGGAGGCTGAGGCAGGTGAATGGCGTAAACCCGGGAGGCGGAGCTTGCGGTGAGCTGAGATCCGGCCACTGCACTCCAGCCTGGGCGACAGAGCCAGACTCAGTCTCAAAAAAATAAAAAAATTAAAAAAAAAAATAAAACAACCTTTCCCGAAGGCTCAGGATATTAGTTAGGACTATGAATGAGCTTTAAAGACAGGCTGCCTAGATTTGAGTTTCAGTTTCATCTTTTTGCAAAATGGGTCTTAGGGAAGTTAATTAAACCTTATGTTGCTTCTTTAAGATGACTATAACAACAATAGTCATCTTGTAGAAGTATAAGACTTATACTTATAAGATGTATAGAAGTATAAGTCTCATACTTCTATAAGATGTATAGAAGTATAAGTACAGATGTATAGATTCTATAAATCTGATAGATTCTATAAATCTGTATGTTAGAATACATCCATAGATGTATAGAATCTATGTATACAATCTATACATCTATGGATGTATAGAAGTATAAGTCTTATCCTTCAATATACAGATTTATAGAATCTATACATCTATGGATGTATAGAAGTATAGGTCTTATCCTTCAATAAGATGACTATAACACATCTGTAAGATGACTGTAGGAAGGCCAAGTGGGTGGATCACAAGGTCAGGAGATCAAGACCATCCTGACCAACATGGTGAAACCCCGTCTCTACTAAAAACACAAAAAAATTAGCTGGGCATGGTGATGCATGCCTGTAATCCCAGCTACTTGGGAGGCTGAGGCAGGAGAATGGCTTGAACCAGGAAGTCAGACGTTGCAGTGAGCTGAGATTGCTCCACTGCACTACAGCCTGGCGACTAAGCAAGATTCCGTCTTAAAAAAAAAGACTATAACAGCAATACTAACAAAATAAGAAATTTTATAATTATAAATTATTTAAAACAATTCTTGACAAATAGTAAATATAATTTGACAAAAGCGTTTGTTAAAACACACAAATGACACAATTTATTTATTCATTCCTCTACTGAAGGACATCTTGATTGCTCTCCACTTTTGACAATTTTGAATAAAGTTTATGCATTCATGTGCAGATTTTTGTGGGGACATTTTCAGCTCCTTTGGGTAAATATATAAAAACACAATTGCTGAATCATATGGTAAGAGTATGTTTAGTTTTGCAAGAAACTCCCAAACTCTTCCAAAGTGTCTTGTACCATTTTACATTTCCAGCAGGAATGAATGACAGTTCCTGTTACTCCACATCCTTATCAGCATTTGGTATTGTCTGTGTTCTGGCTATTGGCCATTCTAACAGATGTGTTGTGGTAACTCGTTGTTGTTTTAATTTGCATATGATGTGGAATATCTTTTCATATGTTTACTTGCTATCTCTATATCCTCTTTGGTGAGGTATCTGTTAAGGTCTTTGGCTCATTTTTTAATTTGTTTTTATTTTATTTTTGAGTTTTAAAAGTTCTTTGTATATTTTGGATAAGAATCTTTTATCAGATGTGTCTTTTACAAATATTTTCTTCTAGTCTGTTGCTTGTCTTCTCATTTTCTTTACATCTTTTGCAGAGCAAAAGTTCTTAATTTTAATAAAATTCAGATCATCTATTATTTCTTTCATGAATTGTGCTTTGGGTATTGTATTTCAAAAGCTAACCCCATATCCAAAGACATCTAAATTTTCTTCTTTGATATCTTCTAGTAGTTTTCAAGTTTTGATTTTACACTTAGATATATGATCCAATTTTTGTGAAAATTGTTAGGTCTTCACCTTAAACCCAAAGGTACTGGTATTCAGAAGTGAGTCTTTGAGAGCTGATAAGCCATGATAGCAAAGCCCTCATGGATGGGATTAGTGACCTTATAAAAGGGCTTGAGGGAGAGAGTTTGTCTCTTTTTTTTTTTTTTTTTTTTTGCATGTAGATGTCCAGTTGTTCCAGCACCATTTATTGAAAACATTATTTTTGCTCTGCTCCGTTGTATTGCCTTTTCTCCTTTTTTCAAGAACCAGTTGACTAAGAGCTCTCTTATCTGTTCCATTGGTCTATTTATCTAGTTCATAAATACCGCACTGCCTTGACTAAAGTCCCTTCATAGTAAGACTTGAAGGCAGGTAGTATCAGTCCTCCAAGTTTCTTCTCACTCAATATTGGATCAGCTATACTGTGTGTTTTCCCTCTCCATCTAAGCTTGGGAATCAGTTGGTCAATATCTAAAAATATTACTTGCTGGAATTTTAAATGGAATTGCATTGAATCTGTAGATCAAATTTGGAAGAACTGACATCTTGGCCATATTTAATTGTCCTATCCATGAACATAAAATATTTCTCCATTTATTTAGTTCTCTGATTTATTTTCTCCAATTTTTGTAGTTTTGTAGTTTTCCTCATATAGATCACATACATATTTATTCGATTTATACCTAAGTATTTCATTTTGGGAGTTATATCTGTGGTACACTTAGATAATGGAATATTATTCAGTGCCAAAAAAAAAAAAAAAAGAGCAATCAAGCTATAAAAAGACATGGAAGAACCTTGTGATGGTTAATATCATGTGTCAACTTGACACACATTGTTCCTGGGTGTGTCTGTGAGGGTGATGTCAAAGGAGATTAACATTTGAGTCAGTGAGCTAGGAGAGTCAGACCCACCCTCAATCTGGGTGGGAACCATCTAATCAGCTGCCAGTGCAACTAGGATAAAAGCAGACAGAGAAATGTGGAAGGACTAGACTGGCTAAGTCTTCTGGCCTCCATCTTTCTCCCATACTGGATGCTTCCTGCCCTCAACATCGGACTCCAAGTTCTTCAGCTTTTGGACACTTGGACCTACACCAGTGGTTTGCCAGGGGCTCTGGAGCCTTCAGCCACTCACTGAAGGTTGCACTGTCGGCTTTCCTACTTTTGAGGTTTTGGAACTCGGACTGGCTTCCTTGCTCGTCAGTTTGCAGATGGCCTATTGTGGGACTTGAACTCGTGATCATATGGGTCAATACTCCTTAATAAACTCTCCTTCGTGTATACATCAGTCCTATTAGTCCTGTCTCTTTAGAGAATCCTGACTAATACAAATCTTAAACGCATATTACTAAGTGAAAGAAACCGAGATGAAAAGGCTGCATACTATATGATTCCAACAATATGACATTCTGGAGAACGTAAAACCATGGAAACAGTAAAAAGATTAGTGGTTGTGGTGGTTGGACAGTGGAGAGGAAAAATAGGCAGAGCACGGGTGATTTTTAGGGCAGATAACATAAATGATCTGTATGATATTATAATTGTAAATACATGTCATTATACATTTGTTCAAACCCATATAATGTACAACACTAATATTCAACCCTAATATAAGTTATGAACTTTGAATGTTCATGGTGTCAACAACAGTTCAATTGTCATCAATGTACCACTCTGGTGGCAGATGTTGATAATGAGGGAGGCCATACATGTATGGAGTCAGGGGATATGTGGGAAATCTATATACCTTCATCTCAATTTTGCTGGGAACTAAAATTGATCTAATAAATAAAGTATTTAATAATAATTTTAAAATAACATCCATACCACTATGGTTTGAATAGATGCATCTTTTTAAAATCCCTGTGTTAGAACTTAAACCCAAAGGTGTTGGTATTCAGAAGTGAGCCTTTGATAGATGATGAAGCCATGATGGCAAAGCCCTCATGGATGGGACCAGTCCCCTTTTAAAGGGCCTGGGGAAGTGAGTTTGTTTCTTTTTGCCCTTCTGCCATTTGAGGACACAGTGTTCATCTCTTCTCCTCCAGATGACTCAGCAAGACAGTTCCATGTTGAAGTAGAAAGCAAGTTCTTTCCAGACACCAAATCTACCAAAACCTTGATCTTGAACTCTCCAGCCAATAGAACAATGAGAAAAAATTCTATTGTTTATGAATTATCTAGCCTAAGGTATATTTTTCTAGTTGCTCAAATGGACTGAGACATTTACCAACTGCTTGACTTTGGGTAAATTACGTAAGCTCTATAAGTCCCAGTTCTCATATTTATGACATAAAAATAGAAAAATACGTGCCTCACAAAGTGTGATGATTAAATAAAGATTAAGTGGAGGCCCGGGCGCAACCACGGGCTCAACCGGACCCCGCCGCCCTCCTGATGCTGCTTGTGAACGCCGATCCGAGCCCGTGCGCAGCGGAGCGCGGGAGCTCGCGCTCTTCCTGACCCCCGAGCCTGGGGCCGAGGCGAAGGAGGTGGAGGAGACCATCGAGGCCATGCTCCTCAGGCTGGAAGAGTTTTGCAGCCTGGCTGACCTGATCAGGAGTGATACGTCACAGATCCTGGAGGAAAACATCCCAGTCCTTAAGGCCAAACTGACAGAAATGCGTGGCATCTACTCCATAGTGGACCGGCTAGAGGCCTTCGTCAAGATGGTCGGACACCATGTCGCGTTCCTGGAAGCGGACGTACTTCAGACTGAGCGGGACCATGGGGCCTTCCCGCAGGCCCTGCGGAGGTGGCTGGGACCCGCAGGGCTCCCCTCCTTCAGGAACAAGTCGCCTGCACCAGTACCCGTGACGTATGAGCTGCCCACGCTGTACAGGACGGAGGACTATTTTCCTGCGGACACCAGGGAGGCACAGCACCACCCCCGCACCTGCCCTCGGCCTTTGTGAGCTTTGTGGTCTTCCCATCAGGAATGCTGGAAAAGTGACATTGTGTACATGCTGCAGCTTGGGGGTTTTTTTCTTTGTATTGCTGTTTATTTTATATTTTAAAGAGATTTTTTTAAATGTCGAGATGGGCTCTCACTATGTTGTCCAGGCTGATCTCAAACTCCTGGGCTCAAGTGATCCACCTGCCTTGGCCTTCCGAAGTGGTGGGATCACGGGCAGCAGCCTCCGCGCCCAGGCTGCTGCCATTTTCAGATTTCCTCCCTGCCTCATGTGAGACTACAGGGTTTGGAGAAGCAGTTGGAACCCACGTGTTGTGCCTCCCACGTTGGCCTGCCTGGGGTTCTACAGGGGTTGAGGGGCCAGGCCTGGCCGGGGCTGATGGACAGTGGGGACTTTCCTTCTCTCCATGATGGCTTTGTAGCAGCTCCATGGTCCTCTCTGTGATGGGGTTTTGCACGGGGTGCGCTCTGCCACTGTGGTGGGTGGATGGGTGGATGGGTGGATGGGTGCTGGTTGTGTTGCCTCTAGACCTCGGTGCCCACAGCCTTGAGGATCCTTCCAATAAAGGTGTCGAGAGCTAAAAAAAAAAAAAAAAAAAAAAAAATTAAGTAAGATAGAGCAAGTAAAGCACTTAATATATTACATTGCATATAGAGGTCAAAGGGTATTTTTTATTACCTGTTACTACCTGATATAGTTTGGATATTTGTCCTCACTCCCATCTCATTTTGAAATACAACCTCCAGGGCTGGGAGTGGGGCATGGTGAGAGGTGCTTTGATCATGGGGGTGGATCCCTCATGAATGTCTTGGGCCAGCCCCTTGGTGATAAGCAAGCTCTTGCTCTGAGTTCACAGGAAATCTGGTTGTTTAAAAGTGTGTGATAGGCCGGGCGTGGTGGCTCAAGCCTGTAATCCCAACACTTTGGGAGGCCGAGACGGGTGGATCACGAGGTCAGGAGATCGAGACCATCCTGGCTAACACGGTGAAACCCCATCTCTACTAAAAAATACAAAAAACTAGCCGGGCGAGGTGGCGGGCGCCTGTAGTCCCAGCTACTCGGGAGGCTGAGGCAGGAGAATGGCGTGAACCCGGGAGGCGGAGCTTGCAGTGAGCCAAGATCCGGCCACTGCACTCCAGCCTGGGCGGCAGAGCGAGACTCCGTCTCAAAAAAAAAAAAAGAAAAAGTGTGTGATATCTCTTGCCCTGTCTCTTGCTGCTGCTTTCAACAAGTGATGTGCCTGTTGCCTTCACCTTTTGCCGTGATTGAAAGCTCCCTGGGCGTCACCAGAAGCCAGCAGATGCCAGCACCATGCTTTCTATAAAGCCTACAGAATTGTGAGGTCAATTAAACCTCTTTTCTTTATAAATTACCCAGTCTCAGGTTTTTGTTTTGTTTTTGTTTTTGTTTTTGTTTTTGTTTTTTGAGACAGATGGAATCTTGCTCTGTCGCCCAGGCTGGAGTGCAGTGGTGCGATCTCAGCTCACTGCAAGCTCCGCCTCCCGGATTCACGCCATTCTCCTGCCTCAGCCTCACGAGTAGCTGGGACTACAGGCGCCCGCCACCGCACCCAGCTGATTTTTTTTTTCTGCATTTTTTAGTAGAGACGGGCTCTCCCCGTATTAGCCAGTATGGTCTCGATCTCCTGACCTCGTCATCCACTCTCCTGGGCCTCCCAAAGTGCTGGGATTACAGGCGTGAGCCACCGCGCCCAGCCTCAGGTTTTTCTTTATAGCAATGCAAGAATATCCTCATATAGTACCACTATAATAACAACTATTTATAAAAATCACCACAATTATTTTGAATTTAAGGTTTTTAGACTTCATAAAAAGCACAAATTATCTGGAAGGAATTGCTTAATTAATAAACTTCAAAAATATTTTGCAGTATTTTGTATTTTAATAAAACTTAAAGCTTCTTCTTCAGTTGATCATCTTTTCTCTTAAAAATTCCTCATCATATATTGATATCATAAACAAAAAAGCATATCTAAACATATATTAAATATAAAATAAACAATAACAAGCATATTATTCTTAGCAGAAAGCAGAAAAGAGAAATCAATTCTGTTGAAACAGGGAGAGGGACTTTGAACTATACAGACATTAAAAAGCTACTCAGGTGTGCAGAAGGAGGTTATACAATTCAATGAAACTAGGCACAGTATACATTTTGTACATAATGCATGCAAACGAAAATCAGAAGAAAATCAGTATTTATTTACTTTCTACCATGAGAATGTGTTGCTCTTGACCAACATGATTGTCTGCATTTTTCCAACAGTTGAGTTTCTATAGGATATGCACTATGTCCTGAACACTCTTGTGTACTTATTACCTACCAAACTTCCTAAAATATAGGAGGCATTTAATAAATATTTGATAAATGCATGTATTCATAAAGAAATCAACAGAAATCTAAAAACAAGTGACTACCTTATCCACAGGGAATGGAATGGATAGAGGAAGTGAACATCACACATTTTTAAATCAAGATTGTATGTTTGTTACAAACTAATCTGAAATATTTTGTAATTACTATTTCTAAGGCATTATTCATGAAGAAACTCTACTATTGAGTTGTCTTTCACCTCCTGTCTCTTTAATAAAAACTGAAGAACTGACCACAAGTTTGCTACTATTTATGATTTTTGTATTAGAAAACCATGGGGATTCCTTCTTCCCTTATGAGACCAAATTCTCAAACTATTTTTGCTACCCCATATGTAAATTTTACTTCCTCCAGTGTGCCTTGATGCATTTACAATGATAACACTGTCAGTCTCGTTTTCCCATTCTTTCGTAATTGTCTGAGTACCTCCTCTAATATCTTCTGTTTGTTAGTCATTGATGACTATCTGCCCCCACCCCTCATTTTTTTTTCCATCTGTAAAGTATCAATGTCTGCCTCGGAAGGCCTTTTTATACTTTCTGGGGTGTCAATTTTTGAATTCTGCAAAAGTAATTAAGATTTCCCCTAGTTCTCTTTTTAGTGCATTTTCTTCATTTTAAAATCGGTTGTTAAAATTCAAGATGTCTTGTAACAACCCCTCCTGCAATTAAGAGACAGACGTGTGTCTGGATGTTTTAGTAGGAGAAAAAAAAATCATTCAGCAAACAGCTGTGGTTCAGAAAGGAGCAATTCTATGTTGTCCATGGTGCTGAATGTGATTTTCTGTGGGTATGGTAAGGCATTAATGGCTTGTCCAAGAATCCAAATAGAATTTGATTTTTACCAAGCACATGAGCCAGTCTGGAATGTATAATAGAAAACTGAATGCATATAGATTAAAAGTAGAGTGCATGTCACAGCATTAAAATATAACAATTTGATTCATTGTTTTCCCTCCATAATTGGAAATGTTTTAAGTAATACAAACAGATGTAATGTTTGATTCCCATCATTTAGGAAGATGTTTCTTCATGAGTCTTGGATGTTCAAATTTTTCTCTATTACTTAACTGATGAGATTTGTTTCTTAGCTCATTACTTACTAGTCAAATAAAGCATAAATTCAAAGAAATTTTATTTATTGCAAAGGCATTTGTTGAAGACCTAATATGCACAATGTCTTATATACTATATGTTTTTGCAATACATATTTAAGTGTTATAATACGTGTCAATATCATTTATTTTAAAAGTTTACTTTTGTGGAGAAGGCATTTGGCTGCAACATCCTTAACTATATGTACAACTACTTAGGCCTTGATGAATAAAGGGATATGAAATTCTGAGTGTGAGACTGGTCAGATTCTGACTTAAGCACTGAAGCAGAATGTGAAAGAGTCTTTTTTAAAACTTATGCTAGTGCCTTGCCCAGTGCTAGATAATCCTATCAGGATCTAGGGACAGAGAAAGACAGGATGGAGAGAAAGATTTAAATCCAATTGAATGCCTGAAATTTGTCTACAAAAGGGCAGATATGGCATGTGGATGCTCCAGTGAGATCAAGTGGTTTAAGGAAGCTTCGATGACTGTTGGTGCATTACCCATGGGTTCTTTCACTTTGAATTATTCCACTATGAAATACTCATCTGCTGGCTGCAGAGAGAGGATGACAGAGAGAAAAGAAACATCTTTGCCTTGTCTAAACTTTGTAGAGAGACTGTCACACATAGGGCAGGCTGTCTTCTCTCATTTGTGTTAACAGGCCCTAAATCACTCTTTCAATTCACTGCCTCTTACTGTGGGGACCATAGTGCTTGGTTCTTCCAGTATGCCATAGTTACAGAGGGCTCCCATGAAATGTTTCAGTAGGTGCATTGAAGGATTTCAACAAGCCCTCCCCTCCCAGCTATTCTACTAACCATTACTTTCTGGACACATACATTCCACCAAACTAACGAAACTCAAAGTAGCATTGGCAGTAAAATTCTCATGAAATCTGAATGTGCTAATTAACATCTACCATTGTTAATATGTGGAATTGACCTCTGTGAACCTTACAATTAACACTTTTCTCAAGACGCTATTCTGAGTATGCATTTTCTTTGGACTTCACACCCTGACCTTTTGCTTGTATCTTATAGGCCCATTTTATGAAGTAATCCTTTTCCCTGTTGTTAAAAGCAAGTGCTCAAGTCACGGAGTTGCATATGAGCACTCCAAATCACCATATGCATGACTTACTCCAAAGATTCTCACTGGGTGAGATGTTGGCAAATTTTGCAGGGTGATTCCAGCTTGTACTGTACAAGTCACTGATTGCAGATAATTTACCAATTTTTGGTCCCCCAATATTAATTTCCTATTGAATAGTAGTAGCATAACTATGGAGAAGGCACCCGTATGCATTTCCAAATGCATTTGGGAGAGATTTACCACCTACATTGACAGCCATTAATAGCCCTTTCTTGCAGTGAAACTACCTTGTGAAATAACTACAAGGGTTGTAATTAGAGCTCCAGTGTCCTGGATTCAATTCTTAGGTTGTCTTGGTCTCATGAGAGTCATATATAGAGGAGGTGAATTTAGAAAATATAAAGTCAGTACAAAGTACCCTCTGAATATTTACATAGGTATGGTTATAATTTTTTTTCATTTGTTAAATGTGTATAATTGCATCTGTCTTACCTAGAGTTGGGATTATTTTTCTCTTCAGTTAGGTTTATGTTTATGAGAAAACCACTATAAAATTCTAAGAACTATTACAAATAAAAATGTGTTAATTGATTTGATAAATTTTTAGAGTATGTGCCAAAAGTACACTATTTTAATGCAGGAAATTTTTTTATGCTTTCTTTATTTTATTGTTTCAAATTTAAATCTCAAAAATTGGCTAAATACCTTTCCTAAGCTGTTTTTTCAAACCAGTTACCACCATAAGTCATTTAGAAGAAAGAAGTACTTTGTAATGGATCTGAATGGAGTTTATGGTATTACGTTCTTTGACAGTTGTGCAGCCCTAGGCATGATCGACACAATTGGTGGGTGCTCTCTGGAGATCCCCTAAAGATTCAATAAGTGGAATAAATGGGCAATGGAGAATGAAGTGAGTTGGAAAAGTGCCTGGTTGACTTAATAAATACTAGAAAGGAAAGACAGGGCAGGATTTATCTTCCACAAATACATCTGTTTTACTTGGACTATATACACACATGCATGCATGTATTTGTGCACACATGCATGTACACACAGGTGTGCACACACATGCTGCAATTTGTCTTTTACTTTAAATGTATCAAGCTTTCTTGGGCTTTATTCTGACAGTAAGTTGACCCACCTTGACTTCAACTGTAGTTAAAGAAAACCCTACCTCATCCAGAGCATAATTTGTCTCTGTCTGTTGCTGTAAAAAGCCATATCTCTGGTGTTTGATAGTCAACCAAAGATAGAGAAGACAGCCTAAGGGTTCTCAAGCTGGAATTGCTTCCATGTAGAACTGTTTATCAATGTGCTCACTCCACTTTCTCAGCTTTTTTCTTCTGAGGCTTACTTTCTTAATGCAAATACCTTCAAGCTACACCTGGGAAACCTGAATGTCTGAATTTGATGCACTCTTATGCTAACCTGGTACCCTGGGTCCTTTTAATTAATATGTAATTGGAATTACCAATATTTATTGAAAAATGATTTGATGCTAAATACTTAACAGACATAATTTAATTTTTATAGCAAATCTATGAGGTAAGTATTGGTATTATTCTTATTTGATTATTGAAGGAACTAAGATCCACGGAGGTCAGTAGAGATAATAAAAATCCAATCATAACAAAAGCAGAAACTGAGACTTAAACACAGTAACCCAATTTTTCTTGATTTAAAAAAAATATTCTAGCTTTCTTAGGAATTCAGTTTCAAATGGTATCTCCTCTCTTATTCCTAAAATGCCCATGGATTTCTACATTAAATTCAAAACTATAGGTAATGAATCAAGAACATCAAGACAAATATTGAATGTCTTCATTCAATATTTCCTGTTAATTCTAGGAAATTTTACACAATCAAATAAGTTCTGATTTCTGTCTATCCTAGTTCATGTCTATGCAGCCTCTTCCATCTCTAGGGAATCATCAGTATAAGCACTGGGCTTATCTGCAGCTCACAATCTGCAGCTAAGAAATCTTGAGACGCAGGAATTATCTAGGCTCAGTCTGCCAGCACCATCGCATTCAGCTCACTGAGGTCTGTGTTTTGAAAGCTGTGGATTACAGTTATCCTTCCTTCTTCTATTCAACATTTTCAGTACTGTTGTGCTATATCTGGTTTGTTTTGTTAGTAAAGAGAAGTGTCAGGGAGCTCTCTTGAGAGAGAATGAAGGGATTTATAACCCTAGATTCTGCAAGGGAAGGATAATATTAACAAAAAGCAAACAATCAATAATGGAAATTCCAATACCATTGCATCTTCAGAAAGTAAGATTTTTTTAGTAGCTACATATTTATAGAAAATGTTTACATTATGTTCTTTGATTGAATATCGGATTCTTATCTGGGTAGGTCGAATCTAATTACATGGGTTCTTAAAAGTAGAGAATATTTGCTGACTGTGATAAGAAAGAGTTATGACTATGGAAGAATGGTCAGAAAGATGCAGTATCATTGGCGTTGAAGATGGAATAAGGGAGGCATAAACTAAGAAATTAGGTGGTCTCTAGAAGCTGGACAAAACAAGGACACAGATGTTCTGCCAGATCCAGATAGGAATACAACCTTCCTGACATCTTGATTTTAACCCAGTGAAAATCTTGTCAGACTTCTGACCTATAAGCTGTAGAATAACATGTTTGTGTTAATTTAAGTCACTGACGTTGTGGTATGTTTTATGACAGTTAAAGAAATACAATAAGTTTGACTACTTAGACTTCCAGACAAGCTGAAATCTATGCTAGATTTCCCATCCCCGGCTCTCCCTAGATGTCCTTACATTCACTTTTTTTAATGGCATCTAAACTGAGGTTTAAGTCTGCTACAGTTTCTAAACAAAACTTGTCTATGCTGCAGCCTTGGTTCCATGAATGGTAAAGTGATAACAGTCTTAAGTTTAAATGTTGACATCTGCAAATCATAGACATTCCACATCCATTGTCCAAGAATGGCCCAGCCTGTAAGACTACACTTCTTGATTTGTGGAACAAATATCTATTTTATACCCAATATGTAACATTATTATGCTGATTCCAGGAATCCAGGAGAAAACAACATGGACAAAATCCTTATCGATCTGGAGTTTGTACCTTAGAACAAGGGTCAGCAATTAATGGTCCATGAATCAAATTCAGTCCACCACCTGTTTCTATAGTTTTCTATAATACAGGCATGTGTTATAAAAAAAAATTCATTTGTTTATTTTCAATGCTGCTTCTTTGGTAAAGGGGTAGAGTGGAGTAATAACAACACAGACTGTGTGGTCCACAAAGCCTATGATATGTATTATCCAGCCATATCTAGAAAAAGTGGGCTAATCCTTGCTCTAGAGGGAAAACAGACAATGAAAAAAAATGTACAGATATGAAGAGTATTATGAAGAAGTATAGAGTGCTCTGGAAGTACCTTAGGGTATGGAGATGACATATAACCAAATCTGACGTAACTAACACTTGGGTTACAGGTCATCACACTGGCTTGGTATCCCTTGCTTTCAAGCATCTCTACCTTCATTCTGTCAGATCCTAGTTTCCTATCATTTGGTGGAATGAGACAAACAAATATACAAACAGACAGAAAGATAGGCAAGCATTATCATGACTTAAAGTCCCAGCTCTCTAACATCCTTGCTGTGTGGTGTTAAATAATGACATTAAATGGCTTCTGAGCTTCTTGTTTCTAAAATTGTCATAATTTTTGCAAGGATTGTTTGTAAAACTATACAGCAGTAGCTTGATTGCATCAGTGATCCCACTAAAGACATCTATGTATCCACAGCCTCTGGTATCTGGACCCACTCTGTAACCTTTTGTGCCCTCCTATATTAATCAGGGTTCTCTAGAAGAACAGAACTAATAGGATAGATGTATATATAAAGGCAAGCTTATTAAGGAGTATTAACTCAGACTATCACAAAGTCTTACAATAGGCCATCAGCAAGCTGAGGAGCAAGGAAGCCAGTCTGAGTCCCAAAGCTGAAGAACTTGGAGTCAAATGTTTAAGGGCAGGAAGCATCCAGCATGGGAGAAAGATGGAGGCTGGGAGGCTAAGCCAGTCTAATCTCTCCAGGTTCTTCTGCCTGCTTTTTATTCTGGATGCTCTGGCAGCTGATTAGATGGTGCCTACCTGGATTGTGGGTGGGTCTGCCGCTCCCAGTCCACTAACTCAAATGTTAATCTCCTTTGGCAACACCCTCACAGACACACCCAGGAACAATACTTTGCATCCTTCAATCCAATTAAGTTGACACTCAGTATTAACCACCACACCACCCATGCTGACTTCTACCTTAGCCCTTTAACTTTCTTTGGTCAATGGAGACATAGAAAATGTCACACAAGGAGAGACTCCAACATGTCTTTATGTGTTAATGCTTCCTCTTTTACTTCTCAGCCTTCCCCATGAGAACATGCCTAAGACAGACTGCTGAAGAAAGTAGCAAGTGGAACAGTGCTCAATCAGCCTGGTCATCCCAGCCAAGCCTTCAGACATGTAAGCGCCCTCCTCCGATCTGCATAGCTGCCTGGCGCAAACACTGTTGACCACTCTTGACTGAGCCCCACCGAGATCAGCTCAGAACAGTAGAACTGACCAGATGACTCTAGCCTCATGAATAAATTTGAGCGTTTATTTTATTTGCCTCTGAGGTTTCATGGTTGATGTTTTCATTTATTTTATTTATTTATTTTTTTTTGCAGCAGTTAACTGAAGCATATACAGGAAATGAGATAAACAATGTGCCTAGCATGTACTCAATAAACAGTACCTCCTACCTTCCCAACAGTGTCACCTGTATGATATAAATATCAGCAGGTGTTATTTCAGAGTATGCTGTCATTATTACACTGGTTGGAGTGATGTTTCACTTCTCCTGGGTTTCCAGGTAACAGCATGCTTGCAAACACGCGCGCGCGCGCGCACACACACACACACACACACACACACACACACACACACGGTTAAATAAACTGTGGATCTCACCATCTGCATTCTTAAGTAAGTACCTGCCTGTTGCATTCTAAGGGGACCAAAGTCCCCTCCAAATCTCAACTTGCTTTCTCTTTAGGGAGCCGCTGTATCTCCCACAGGCTCCTTTTCCCAGAAGAACTGAGCAAGCTACATCATGTCGGGGTCAGCACCCCCGGGCTTGTGAAGTAGGTCTGGAGACGGTTTCCAAAGAGACGTGTTATTAAAGAAACAATGCCTTTGTCTCTGCAGCAGGGCTAAGTGCTGTTTATTTCCAGATGCTTTCCTGGAACACGGGGAAGGGAGTGCAGCTGCACATCATTCATGGAGTGGCTGAAACAGGATGGGGGACAACACCCAGAGGAAATGAGCAGGCTCATTCAGGGGTGGGGACATGATGCAATTTGTTGTCCCCAAAAGAGAAGGACTCAGTTTCCTTCTTCATGGGCCTGCACCTGCTCCAAATTTCAACACTCTTGTTTGTTTGAATGACGCCATCCATTTCTTCTTCACCTAATCTTCTAAGCTTTAGCAATTTTTAATTTATCCATATAAATATATTCTTAATTCTTTTTTCTCACCCCTCTATTATTCATTTTGATGAAAATAGTAGAGATAAATGGCTCTGAATGCAGGCTCTGCAGAAAATCTGATTCAGTCAGAATCCATCTCCATTTATTTTTGGACAAACCTTCTTCAAAACTTGCTTTCATTAGCAGAGATGGTGATGCGAGCCTGTAATCCCAGCTACTGGGGAGGCTGAGGCAGGAGGATCACTTGAGCTCAGGGGTTCAAGTCTGCAGTGAGCCCTGACTAAGCAACTGCTCTCCAGCCTGGGTGACAGACCAAGATCCTGTCTCAAAAAATAAAAGAATTGAAAAGGAAAAAATAAACTTGCTTTCCTTATAATGGCAGATGTAAAAAAATAGTGCTACATTGTAGGTGTGTTTTGCAAAATAAATAATTCAGAATTAAATGTTTATCTCAGTATTTGGCAAAGAGCAAGTAGTTAGTAAATATTTGTTCTTAACTATCATCACCATCATTTTAGTCTTATTGGTATTATTATTATGGCTGAATCCTAGTGTTTGTTGGACTAAACATCTCACAGCTCTTCCGTTTGTCTATCTGAGTCCACCGTCCCTGTACTCACTATGTAAAACACCTCTCTGACTTTCCAACTAGCCTCACCAGTTTCTCTGTCTTGTTCCTAATCTTTCTTCACTGGCCCATCATCTTTTTCTAGGATAACTTCCACTGTTTGTTACATCATGTGTTAGTTTCCTAGAGCTTCCACAACAAACTGCCACAAACCTAGTGACTTAAACAACAGAAGTTTATGTTTTCCACAGTTCTGGAGGCTGTAAGTTTGAAATTAAGGTATTGGCAGGGCATGGCCCCTCTGAAACTTTTAGGGAAATACTTCCTTGCCTCTTCCTACCTCCTGGGAGCTTGCCAGCAGTTGTCAGCAACGGTTGGCTTGTAAATGCATCATTCCAATCTTCATAATCTCAGGGCATTCTCCTTGTATGTCTCTGTCTTCACAGGACCATCTTCTTATAAGAACACTATGTGTGTTGAATTAGGGGCCCACTCTCCTCCAGTATGATCTCATCTTCACTAACCACATCTGCAATAATCCTATTTCCAAGTAAGGTCTCATGTTGAGGTACTGGCAATTTGGACTTCTAGATATATTTAGGCAGGAAGAGGACATTTAAAACGTGGCTTTTCAGAACCCACCCCAGTTTATCTTCAGGCCCTGTTCCTCGCCAGTCTCTCCACACTCTTCTCTCTGGCTATAAGAGTATTTTTAGTGAGCTGATGATTCCATGACCCCTCTGCTTCCTCAGAGCCTTTTCATTGGCTGTATACTGTGGCTGTCACATAGCCAATGCCCTCCCTTGGTTGATTTTCCACCTAATAATACCACCTATTATAAGAAACCCTCTGGGTAGTGTTAGGTGTCCTGCTGTCATTCCTCTATGCCTTTTGAGGGGTTACTGCCTCATGGCGCTTATTACATGGCTTTCTAACACTTAATTACTTTTCTGTCTCACCAACCAAGCTGGCCAGGTCTGCCTTTTGTATGGCTAGCTCCTAATGCATTGTCTCTTACATAGTAGATTTCAAATCATTACTTGTTAAACGAATGAATAGCCATCCATTATGATGACTATTAACTTAAAATATTAAATAACAAATGTTGGTGAGGATGTGGAGAAATTATAACCCTTGTTACAATCTCACATTGCTGGTGATATTGCAAAATGGTGCAGCCACTGTGGAAAACAGTGTGGTGTTTCCTCAAAAAATAATAAAGGTAGGATTACCACTTGAATTACCATGAAAGAAGTAATTTTACTTATGAGTATATACCCAAAAACATTACAGGCAGGCACTTGAAAAAAATATTTCTACACTTATGCTCATAGCAACATCATTTACAATAGTCAAAAGATGAAAGCAACCCAGTGTCCACAGATGGATGAAGATCAATGAATAAACAAAATATGATATATACATACAATGGAATATTATTCATTCTTTAAAAGGAAAGAAATTCTGGCACATGCTACATCATGATGAACCTTGAAAATGTTATGCTAAGTGAAATAATCCAGTCACAAAAGGGTGAATACTTCTGGTTGCATTTGTATGTAGTACTTAGAATAGTCAAATTCATAAAGACAGAAAATAGAATAGGGGTTTGTAGGGGTGAAGGGGAGGAGGAAATGGGAGGTTATTGTTTAATGGGTATAGAGTGTCAGTATGGGAAAATAAAAATGTTCTGGAGATAAATGGTGGTGATGTTTGCACAATGACAAAAATGTATTATACTTAATGCCACTGGCCTATAAATTTAAAATGGTTACAATGGTAAGTTTTATGTTATATATATTTCCACAACAAAAAATAAAAACTACCCCAACCGCTTACCCCAGAAAATAAACGAATGAGTCCTATATATGTACCCTGAGATGTCTGAATCAATCATTTTTGAATGATTAACTGAAACTGAATGCATCTCTATGCTGGTCACTGTCCTCAGCACTATGCAAATACTAATTCATTTAATCTTCCTAACACCTTATGCTGTAGGTAATATTATTACACCAATTTTATAGATGGATATACTGAAACATAGAGGCAAAGCAATTGTCTTAAAGCTAACAGTTTGTATGAAAGAGAATGGGCTTAGAACAGAGGCAGTCTGGCTCTCCAGTCTGGACTGTTAACTCTCATAGCTCAGATAATGTTAACCACTGCAATAATCAAAATATTCAGGGATCTAGCTTACAGGTACAGCAATGTCCATACTACTTAGTATCCACGAGGGCACTCAAATCAGCCCCATATAGGCTTTGTTTCTACAACATCCTTCCATGTTCCTTACTCCAGGAAAAAAACCTTCCACCTATATTTTTAACATTTTCTGAAGTTTCTTGCCTAAGTGATTTTCTCTACATTATTTTTTCCTGATTATCTATTTCTGTGTAAAAGCTATCCTGTAACTTTTAATACTGCAAAACAGCCAATTGGCTTTTCTCACAATTTTGTGTGTTAGAAATTTTGAAGGGCTTGGTTGGGCAGCTTTTCCCTGATCCATGTGATACCCACTGGGGACAGCTTAGGGTGGAGGATGCACTTCCAAGATGAGGGCTTCTTTTTTTTTTTACTATCATTTTTTATTTTTTGAGACTGCGTCTCGCTCTGTCGCCCAGGCTGGAGTGCACTGGCAAGATCTCCACTCACTGCAAGCTCCACCTCCCGGGTTCACACCATTCTCCTGCCTCAGCCTTCCGAGTAGCTGGGACTACAGGTGCCTGCCACCACGCCCGGCTAAATTTTTTTGTATTTTTTTGGTAGAGATGGGGTTTCACTGTGTTAGCTGGGATGATCTCGATCTCCTGACCTCGTAATCTGCCCGCCTCAGCCTCCCAAAGTGCTGGGATTATAGGCGTGAGCCACCGTGCCCATCCAAGGGCTTTTGAACTCACAGGTTGGCACCTCAGTGCTTCTTGCCCTCCTCTCCCCTCCCTTCCTCTCTCCTCCCTTTCCCTCCTCTTCCCCTCCCCTGCCCTTCCTTTCTCTCCTGTCCCCTCTCCTTTTAACTTTTTTCTCCTCTTCTTCTTCTCCCTCCTCCTCATCCTTCTTTCTCTCCCTCTCTCTCTTTCTCTGCCTTCACATGACTTCTTACTGTTCTAGTATACGGTGACTTCACTTGCTCGGGCTTCTGAACAGCATGGTGGGCGGTCTCAGGGCAGTGATATTTTTTACATGGTGACTGGATTCCAAGACACGGATAGCAGAAGTTGCCTAAAGAGTTAAAAGATTTGTTTAGAACTGGCACAATATCATTTCCAACATATTCTATTAGTCAAAACAATCACAAGACCAACCCATATTCAAGGTGCTGAAGACATAGGCCCCACCTTTTGATGGAGTAATGGCAGTTTCCATTGCAGAAGAGCATGTGGAATGAGAGGTGTCATTGTGCCACCTTTGTACAACACAATATTTCACTATCGATAGTTGCACTGTATCTTTATCTCTATCTCTATATTTATATCTATATCTAGTTGGAATCAGATACAAAACATGATAGCTAGATAGACTAATATAGATATAGGTAGCTGTATCCATCTATAGGTGAGTTTGTATGTGTATTTATTAGAT